TTTTTTTTTTTTTTTAACGCTTCGTATCTATAGGAACTCGAAGGTATAGATGGTGTTTTATTTTAACAAAATACATAATTTTTATTTTTTTCCATAAACTTTTCTAAATAACGTGAGAAATGATTTAAATTTGCATGCATAAGTACTCTAACAAATAATCATATATTTTGTATATATATATATATATATATATAATGTTTGTATACATGTGAAATGGAAATTAAAATCTCGCTTCTCCTATAATTTTTAAAAACTAAACTTGGTAATATTTTTTGAAAAATTTCAAAAAATCTCACCTCTCGAAAATAATTATCATTTTGTGCATAAAGTTGTTAAAATTAATAAAACTTATAAAGTGGGCGATTTTATTTGACATATGTGATGACTATTTTTATTTTTGGTATGAAATGTGTTGTTATTAATATATGTATGAAATTATGGTGTAAAGTGGACGGTTTTATTTTGTTATGAAATATCCTAATTTAAATGGTATGAATTTTATCAAGTATGGATAGAAATGTACTTGGAAATTTTGAAAACAAAATAAGGGTATTGGTGAAATGGACTTCACCCAGGCTCATTCAACTCGGACGCCCTCCATATCTGTAAGAACCAGGGGCGAAACCATGTTGGAACTAGGGGAGGCGCCGGCCCCTCCAAAAAAAAAAAAAAAATTAAACTAGGGTGGAGGGTTTTGCTGAAACTGGAAAATTTTCCTTTGAGCGCGCATGTTGGGCCCTCCCCGGTTTCATGCGGTACATACATGGCCGGAGGGGCGACAATGGTTTTGTCGTGAATTTTTTTTTAAAGGCAAATTGGGCCCTCCCCGAAACGGGATCATGGTATAACAAAAGCAGAATTTAATAATTTTTTCATTTCTATTATATTTTGAGTTGGTTAATTAGCCGACTTGCGGTGTACCGACGGGACTCAAAAATCGAGTCGATCATTACCGAAAAATACTTTTATGAAAGTACGGGAAGCGGAGAGTGCGTTGGTGGCATCGATTTATGATTTTGAGGTCCCGACCATTTATTTTGGGTAGCCCGAAGTTGAGAGAAAAATGGCAGTTGCGGTAATTTTATTGTCATTTTCATGTGTAGACTTCGGGTAACCGTCGGCCCTCGTTAGGCGTGCTGAAAATTAGCGGGAGTGCTTTCTTGAAAGCACGAGAACAGTAGAAGTCGTTCGTAAAATTTATTTCACGTTTTGAAGTTTAGAGCATTTATTTTGAGAAGCTCGAAGTCGAGTGCGCATAATAGAAGAATAAAAAGCTGTTTTGCGGGGTTCCGTAAGGTTGCGTGTGACCTCGGTTTAACGAGAATCGAGTTGGAGTGTGTAGACAATTCAAGCACGATTCCATACGGACAAATTTTGTATTTTTTGGAGTTCCGAGCATTTATTATGAGAGTTTGAATTTCTGCGTTAAATAGTATCAAAAGGAGCAAATTTGTCGAGGACGACTTCGATCGTTCGAGCCTTCATTTTCTCAATTTTTTCAGCTTTTCGTCTATTCGAAAGGAGGTATAATTCTTGATTATTATTATAATTGAGTCCGAGATTTTTATTAGTATAAATTCGAGTATTTTTCGAGTTAAAACAGTTCAGTTTAAGTATACCAGTTTAATTCCGGACTTACTTTGATTTTTAGAAAAATCTCTAGAGTATTCATTTATATCATTCGAAAATTTTTTAGAGCGTCCACAAAAGCCCTTTGAGCGCCCTTCTGATGCCGGATTGGGGGTGATGCGCTGCGGGATGGCCGGAGTGAGGGTGGTGCGTCGCGGCAAATTGGGCCCTCCCCGAGATGACCGGCTGGTTTCGCCACTGGTAAGAACTCAATGCCGGGAGGGGTCCCGACGTCGAGCCTCCGATGCTTAAGTCAGCACTAGACAGAGATAAAAGTGCAATATGAGAGTATAATAGTGAATGTAGAAGGAATGTGTTTTTTTGATACATTAGACCCTTTTTATAGGGGAGGTGTTTGGCCTGAGCAATACCATTGGGACATATGTCCTAGCCCATCTGTAGGTATATTCTCAATATATTTACTTATCCATGAAAACCGGTCTATTATGATCTCTCGTATCAAAGGGTATGAATTTTATTTGGTATGAGTTTGATATAAAATCAAGGTGATATGATTAGCATATTCCATATAATAATTTGTCATAAGATATTGATGATAATTCGACAAATTGACATGGATTCTTGTTGAAAATCAGAAGGATGTTTGAAAAGATATTTGTTAATAAATTTAAAATTCATAAAGAATTAGTTCATAAATTTGAGCAATAAGGTAATGGACAACAAATCTAAAAAATTGTGGACACACACACACACACACACACACACACACACACACACACATATATATATGAAATATATAAAGAAATTTACCGTGTAGTCTGAATTTGGGTTCCTAATTTAAAAGTCAAATAATAAATTATTCGTAACTTACGGGACAATATTAACTTGAACGTAAATGGAACAATCAATTATTCATAGCATAATAATTAGTTCAACTACTTTTTGTTTTTAATTTGATTAGTTTATATAAAAAATATTTAATTAATGAAACAGTATAATTTTATAGTTATTCTTCTTATTCACATATAAATTAAATACATGATAAAATTTTACCATAATAATTATTTTTTACAATCATGTTGTAGTCAAATCAAATTTCTTAATAAAAAAATTAAAATGATACTTATTTTTAAATGAGCATAATATAATTTATGATTAGTTACATGCACAGATTGTATACTAATTTTAAATAGATATGTTTTATATAATTCTACACGATTTAAATTTCATTTAAGATTTTCAATAAATTAAAATAAGTAAATTGTATTGAATTGACTCCATATTTTTAATTTATAAATATTAATTAATATCTCTTATAAGTGCTTCACACGGGATTCGTACTAGTTTTGTGGAAAAGACATACAGTTATTGACATTATAAAAATTTGAAAATATTCCATCTAATCTATCTAGTATATAATTAGGCAACTCACTTGCCATTTTTAGAAAGTTTTATGTGGGACCTACAACACTCTTACTATTTTTGGAAAGCCTTCACATTCTTTTGACAAGTGTTCATATTTGTATTAGTTTTAACTACCTCAAATAATATTTAGTTAATTTATCGATAACTACCCAACACCCATTACTTAATATTTATTTAGTTTATCGATAACTACCCGATACCCATTATTTAATGATTTGACGCGTGTTTATCAATTGTGACTATTTTTTGTAATACAAACAATTAAAAGTACTGAACGTTTGTACTTGACAATATCTTTATAAAATTTTATTAGATTTTTTATGAAATATTTTAGTTTAAGTTATTTATCTAATTTTCATAATTTATACTTTATAAATTAAAATAATTATAAGTGTTCGTATGCTTCTTGCATGAATTTTATAAATTTTTTATCTTAAATTTTGCACATAAATATTAAATCTTTATCTTAAATTTTGCACAAAAATATTAAATCTAATAGTAGTGAAATTAGATATAAGATATTTTAAAAATATGCACAATGAATAACACACAAACATTCTTCGTAATAAATGAATAAATAAATAACATTATGTTTGTAAATATATATATATATATATATATATATTTTTGTAAAATATTTGATCACGATTAAGTTAATCTAATAAACAAATAGTATTATACATATATATGTAATATATGTAATAAATATCAGATTACATAATATAAAGAGTATTTCGTAAATATCTTTGTATTTATTAGTAATATCGCGATAACATAAAAATGTGATTTAAGTGTTAAATGATAGGTATTTAATTATTTTAGACGTATGTATGTTTATAAAATATTTTGTTCTTTTAATACGTAAATCAGTCACATATTTAACAACACTAAACAAAAGTCCGAAATAATATAACATTTTTATTTTTTATACAAATATTGACAAAGTCCAAAATAATATAGGATTTTTATTTGTTATAAAAACTATTAACACAACGCAGTAACACGAGTAACATATGGAAATTAATTAGAAATACAGTAAAACCATGAGAGTGAAATTATTAAAAATACATATGTTTGGACCGTTACCACATTGTTAGTGGCTTGAACCGTAACCTTTCACGACAACATTTTTTATTTAATAAGATACATATTTGGTAGTTTATAAATACGCAATTCATTATTTTACCATCACATCCACATGTCTTTCACATATTTTTCAAACAATTGCTTACACACGGGTAAAGAAGGTATAGAAAATTGGATGGAGTATCAAAGTTCGTGATGCGATGTTACACTGCTTTCAAGATTAAAATACTATTTTACCATCACATTCACATCTCTTTCACATCTTTTTTCACACAATTGTTTACACACGAGTAAAGAAGGTATAGAAAGTAGGGTGGGGTGTTAAAGTCTGTGTGATGCGATGTTAAGATAGGACTGCTTTTCAAGATTGAAATACTGTTTTCTGGGAATTGATATTCCACGACTCCGAGGTCAAGATCGAAATACCGAGACTGCGAGGTGATTCTGTTAAGACATTTTTTTGTTTATAAATAGTTATTATACATATTTTATTTAATTTTATTTCCTAATATTTGTGTTTGTAAGGTTTTCAGGGATAAAAAATCCATCCCTCAATCAAAAAGATTAATGTAGTTATGTTCAAACGTTTTGGAGTCATAGGTATTCACACTTTATAATTGTAGCACCAAATGGCGGCATATATAAAACTACTATAGCAAGATTTAAGATATATTTTATGGTGAACTTCAACATGAAAATTTCCCGAAGTTTATGTATAACTTCTAAAGTTTTACCGATTTGGCTAAAGACTTTTTTTGTAAAGACTCATTATTGATCGGTAAATATATCATATGCATATAAAACATAAAATATATGTTTTAGTTATTGAAGATTAATTTATATGAATCTTATACCTGAATAACTCTGTATTTATTGAATGAATCAGTAATTATATCTTATGAATATTAAAAATAAAATATATATTTTAGTTATTGATGAGTAATTTATATGAATATTATACCTAAAGAAACCTGTATTTACGCATTGCCAACTTATGTCCCTGTTTCACGAGTTACAAATGAGAAATCACTAAAAATATTAATTTGTGATGATAAAGATACCTCAAAGACAGAAGAACGTTGTACATAAGAAAATGTTCAATAATATTTAATCGTTATGCATATGAATTGCAAATGTTCTTTTAATAATTTTTTTTTTTTTTTTTTTTTGTTTCGTAGCTCCCGTGCATTTGCACGGGCAACTGTACTAGTGTTGTTAAATAAAGAAACAGAGTTTATTTATTCAAATTGATTATCAAAACCTATAAATTGTGCATTCAGAGACGGATAAAATGATTTTCAAACACCATAGCTGAATTTTAATACTTTTTTTACGAAAAATGTTACATTCAATTAGTTTATTTTATATAGATTCAGCTTAACTTAATTATTTTAAAATAACATACAATAATCTCGCAGGCATACACATGTAACATTGCTGTTTTTTTGTTTTTCCCTCCATCCCTCAAAACAGAACCACACACATGATTTAATAATTCCATAAGCTTAGAAACCACATCAACTACAATAACAAAGAAATTTTGAAAATGACCCAAAACAAA